AAAGGCTAATGGGTGCTCTAGTCTTCTAGTCAGTCAAAGCTAATCCTACTTGGGCCAAATTATGTTGGTCATAGGTGGTGACAAGGCAAATTGTTGGGCTACCTAGGAGATAAAGGAAGCTAAAGTTCGCTAGGAGATAGAAACTGGGCCTAGCTAGAACATTGATCCCATAAATTTTCCTTGGCCCAAAGGCAGCAAAACAGAGAAGATTAAGGCAACTAGGGTTCGCCTCAATCCCCCTAATCCCCTATCCTCCTCTTGCGAACGCCGCGCCGCCGCCCCTCTCTCCCTATGCTCTAATCGTTGCTCTAGCTCTCCGGCAAGTGCACCAAGACATCGGCCCGGCTCTCCCAGCTTGCCGCAGTTGATATTTCCTCACACTGGTCCCTTGCGCAGCCTTTGCAATTGGAATATCTTGAATTAAGGTATGACTTGAATCTCAAATCTGAAATATCAAAGTTTCATTCTTTCAATAGTTTTCATTCTTTCAATAGTTTCAATGTATACAAGCATGTCAAAAATAACTAATAGCAAAATTCAAGGTAAAAAATTATTGTTGGTTAAGTGTTGGAGGCACAGATTAGTTGCTACCAAATCAGTTTAGTTTCTGGCAAGTGGGTCAAGGGTTAGATACTAATTTGTGAATGAACACCAATTTAGCCAACAAGAAATTGAGGGAATCAACCATGCCTATAATCTATCTCTAAACACTTTCCACCCCACCATGTTGTGTATACCATTCACCCTTCCTCAAATTGGGACAACCAGTCTGTCATCGGGGAACTCATTATGGGTCGTATGTAAGTAATAACCATCACCCGCCCTCATTTCACAGCTGGTCTGCCATGGAATCAATTTTTATCCATTGGGTTTATAAGCAAGGTACTTGGTGCTCTTGGGTAATTTTACCTATGAATATTGCATATGTTAATTATTGTGTAATCATCTCATTGTAAGTTTGAAGAGTATTCATGGTTAGCTTTGCACTTTTTATAGAAATGTTTTATTCAACTAGCTATATAAAATGGTCCACTATTTTACACCAGTTTTAATATCCCAGTCCGTTCATAGTATGGTATAGCCCATGCGCAAATTCTAGTTCTGGTTTACACTCGTTAGCTCCAACTATTCATTTGGTGGGAACAGTCTCACATGCAAAGTTTAGATAGCATTGGGCCATCTAATATAGCTAGCTAGTTCATTCCAAACATAATACCTTCGTGTTAACCCTTTTATATACCTCCGTGTTAAACCTTTTACCCAAAGAAAGAATAAAAGTTGAAGTGGGATGCTATATGAATGTGGGACCGCTAGCTCAACTTACAGAGCTGGGCTAACATGGTTATTAGAGGCTGGAGTGTAACTCCAACATTTTACATTATATTTGCACCAGTCTTGGAGTATATATAAGTCAATTATTTTGGACAACTTTGGAATTAATGGGATTGCTAGAAATGGGAAAGAAATGTATTAAACATTTATATTAGTGTGCGATGTACATCATATAAAGCCGTCTGCAATATATGTGCACCAAAGTTTTCTAAACAATGTTGAAGGATGCATGTATGGTGTTAGAAATTAAACAATGTAATTCAATTAACCAATATTTGTTATGCACACAATAGTTAACATTTCGTATTAAGCACCACTTTAATTTTTTCATGTTCTCTGATAGTGTTTTTCACACACTGATACAGTATGGCTCCAAGAATATTAGAGAAGGCATTACATAGTGATATCCCAGATGACGTCATAAGATGCAACATTCTGCCACGGCTTCCATTCAAGTTGGCCACCCGTTTGAAGGTCATATCAAAGAAATACTATGGGATTCTCACCAACAACGCCACACTCTCTGCTAGGCAAGCAAGGCTCTGCCCACCGTGCCCTGCACTTATCCACATGGACCTCCCAGACAGACATTTGGGTGCATATACTAGCAAAGTTGAAGCCATTGATGTGCTATCATCAACGCCTGACATTGTTGGCATTCCCTCAGGCTTTGACTTTCTTGGTTGCTGCCTAGAAAATGGGATTCTAAGTCTCCTTGCCTCAACCAATGGGCTTGTCTGCATCCTCTATACTCCAACTAATTTTATCTCCCACTCACGGGCGCCCACCCTTTTCATAGCTAATCCAGCAATGCAAAAAGCCCAGTCAATCCCTGGTACAACTAAACACATCACAAGGTTTGATAAAGGCATCGGCCTTGCGTTCGACCCAGTGGATAATTTTCAGGAGAATACAGTAAGCAAGTTCGTGATAGTCAAGGCAGTTGGTGCTAGGACCATTGAGGATAACGGGACTAAGTTTTGCTTTGCCACCTTCTCCTCAAATACTGGCTGCTGGGCCATGTCTAGTACAACCGTTTATGTGGACACCAAAATTAACTGCAACAACAAGAAGGTGGCCTATGGAAGTGGAATCATGTACTGGGATTACCAAGAGATTGTGCTCTGGTTTGACATTGCCACAGATATGGCTGGCATCGTGAAGATGCCATGGATTCAACTAGGTGTCGAAGTGAAGGGACCTGTCCACCATGATATTGACACCTCTGCCAATGGAATGCTGGTATGCACTACAATTGATAAGGGTGGACTAATAGTGTATCATCTTGTTAGAGTAAACACCGACTTCAGTTGGGAGATCAAGCATGAGAGAAGATGGATTGACATGATGAAGGATAGCATTTCTGCATTTGGGTTCTGCCATTCAATGCAGTTGCGCTCAGGGTTGCAGCCAGAAAGGCTCACTGAGAGACGACTTGTACGGCCGATTGGCATAGTGGATGGGAGATTTGTTTATATTGGGGTGAGACAGGAATGGAAGACGAAGGTTAAGATTGTGTGCTATAACATGGTCACTGGCAAGACATATGACACCGGTAAGGAATTGGGCAACCGATATAGCAAGAATCCCTTCTACGTATACCGTAACAGCATGGCTAATATTCCACATATTGCGGTGCCAGTTCAAGGTAAAATTTGTGAAGGGCGTGCTGGTGGTTGCATATGTGCAATGTACACCGGGGAAGGTTAATTATGGGCTTTGCATTTAGTACAACGTGATAATCAACAACTTCAGGTTGACTTGCATAAAGAATTGTTGCTTTGAGTGTTTTCAGTTTATAAGATGTGGTTTGAGCATACAAATATGCATAAGTGGAATGAATGTTTACCTGTTATCCATGCATGTGTGAGTCCTTTATTACAGGAACTCCTTTAAATTTGCTACTAATGGATTTTGTTGTGAAGAAAGTTTTGATCCATTGATTTTGCATTAGAGAGGAATATATTGTATTAAGAGAAAATCCAGTAAAGGCTATTGACAACCATCGGATTCAAAGAAATACCATCAACAAGTGTAAGTTGCATGAAATACCATTGTACAAGCAACTTTGCCCAAAAATACCATCGCCGTTAGGGTTCCGTCCATCCCGTGCCATCACCGCATTGGCGCCGCTGCCCACATGCTGCAGCGCCTCCATCGGCGCAGCTGCCACGCCGTTGTTCGTGTCGTCCAAGAGAGAGCTCAAGTGCTCGACCAGAGGGTATGGCTGTGGTTGCTGCAGTGGGAGGAACAGAGGAAAAAAAAAAGGAGAAACGAAGAAAAGGAGAAGATGGAAAAAAATAACAGGAGAGAAAAGGAGATAAAAAAGAATTTTTTTGTGTGGGCCTCACTTGTCAGTTGGTGTAGGATTTGTCATGCTGCCACAAGGGCGGATCCACCAGATAGCTTTGTTAGGCTCTAGCCTACCCTCCGTTTTTGCAAAAAAATATCAACTGCATATGATTTCTGAGAAGAACATACATTTGAGAAGATGAACAGCCATAGACAGTTGGAGGAAGAAGAACAGAAGCGCTAGGGGAGGGATTGCTTTGGGAGAACCCAAAGCGGTACGCATAATAATGGCCCATTTGATCAATTGGCTTACTTTGGCACTTCAGGTGGCAGCCCACTAGTCACTTTAGTGCATAAACAGATTAAATCATTTGGAGGGCTTAAGAGCTAGGGTTGAATTGGAGACCGAGGGTTGTGGAACTTGTGGTCTGTCATCTGTGCGAGCTAAGACATAAGAGAATGCACTTTTTACTAGCAAGACATGGTACTCGATTTTATTTTTATATTTTGATCATGCATGTATTGAATTTGACTTGCACAATGGTATATACCTCATTTTAGTTTTACCAAGGCTTCGACTTTGAGCCCACCCTATATTTTTATGCTGGATTCGCCACTGATCATCCGTGTGGCATGCCATGTAGGATCCCGGAGGTGTCATGGTAGTCTCGGATGGATTAACACAATTTAACAAGTTTTAGGACCTGGATATGTATGTATTTTAAGAGTTTAGGAACCCAGATGATACATTTCCAAAAGTTTAGGGACCATCAATACACTTTACTCTATACCGTAAAACTCATTTGGCTAGTCCATTGGTTTGTTATCCTTGATTAACTCCTTGAGTGTTCGCAACTTTCAGAAAACTTTCAAAATACCAATATTGCTGAGCTGATTCAGAGTCACGAAAGATACGTAAATACATATACGGAGTCTAGATCCATATCAGTTGCACCAGCACCGTGAAAATGAGAAAATGATATTAGCCCTTTTCCAACCGAAACATTACTCACGAAAAAAAGGAGCGGTCTATTAGCACGTGATTAATTAAGTATTAGTTTTTTTTAAAAAAAAGATCAATATGATTTTTTTAAGCAACTTTCGTATAGAAGCTTTTTATAAAAAATACATTGTTTAGTAGTCTGAAAAAGGAAAAGTACGAATTACGCCCCCGAACTATCGCGGTCGTCTGAATTACCCCCTAAACTTGAAAACCAGTAATCGTTCACCCTGAACTTTCAATACCAGACAAATTACCCCCCTCGATTCAATCCAGAGCGGTTTTGTCCTACGTGGCGTACACGTGGCAATCCAGTCAACATTTTATTTATTAAAAAAATATGGGACCCACCTGTCATACTCCTCTTCCCCTCTTCCTCTCTCTCTTCTCTCTCTCACTCTTCCTCTTTCCCTCGCCGGTCCGGCAGCGGTAGGCGTTCGGCGTGCACGGCAGGCGTTCGGCGTCGTGGGACGCGGAGGCGGCGGCGGCGTTCCTCATGTCGCCCGCCACGTCGATCTGGGCATTCCTCTCGCTGGTTCCATGGCGCGCTGATGCTGGGGCTGGCCATCCCCAATAGGCCGCCGCTCGGCACGGCGCTCGGTGAGAAGATCGAGGCGATGGTGTCCGGCCTGATCCTGCCGCTCTACTACGCCATGACCGGGATCAGCACCGACGTGTGGCACATGCACTGGGGCTGCAGCTCGTCATGTTCCTCGCCTGGGTCGGGAAGCTCGTCGGCGTCATGGTGTCGCCGACCTTACTACCTTGAGATCCCCCTCCGCGACGCCGTCTCGCTCAGCCTCTTCATGAACTCTAAGGGCATCGTCGAGGTCATCACCTTCAACTTCTTCTTGACCAACAAGGTGAATTTAATGATCCCAATCGTGGCAAGATATTCGAATCGATTAATGGAGTCCTGCCTGTTGACGAGTGTGAGGTTGATTTCCTTGCAGCTCATCGGCAAGAACACGTTCAGCATCCTGATATGCTTGTCAGTGGCCATCACGGCGGTGTTGGTGCCGGTGGCCATCACGTTCAGAATCCTCGTCGTCGTCGCCTTGTTGTCTCAGGGTCCTCCGCCGCCGGCGCTTGTTACCGCGTCCGCCCCTAGGCCCGCCTGGGGGTCCTCCACCGCCGGCGCCCGCCGCCGCGTCGCCTGCGGTAGCCGCCAGCGCCCTCCACCGCGTCGCCGCCAAGGCCCGTCTCCGGTAGCCACTAGTCAGCCGCCAGATTCGGCGGTCGGGGAGGGGAGGAGACCGCGCGCCTACGACGAGGAGGAGGAGCCCGCGGTGGCGGCGGTGTCCCACCGCGCGTCCCCGCGCGCCACCGCCGAGGAGGAGCACACCGCCCACCGCGTGTCCCCGCTCGCCCGGTCGGCCTCCGCCTCCGTCGCCGGCCACCGTCGTCCTCGGGCCCCCTCCGCCACCCACAACTGGCTCCGCCCCCGCGCGTCGCCGTCCTCACCTCACCGCCGCCATGCTCCTCCGCCGCCTCCGCCTCCACGCCGATGTCCTGAGCACTGACGTCCGCGCCGCCGTCTGCGCCGCCCACGCCGACCACCGGTCCCTGCTCTGTCCTCGCCGACTGCCCGCGCCCACCTCCCGTCCTCGCCGTGCACACTGCACGAGAGAGAAAAGAGCGAGAGAGAGAATAGAGAGAGAGGAAGAAAGTATGACAGGTGGGTCCCACGTTTTTTATTAAATAAAATGCTGACTGGATTGTCACGTGTGCGTCACGTTGGACAAAACCGCTCTGGATTGGGTCGAGGGGGGTAATTTATCTGGTATTGAAAGTTCAGGGTGAACGATGACTAGATTTCAGGTTTATGGGGGTAATTCGAACGACCGCGATAGTTCGGGGGCGTAATTCGTACTTTTTCCTTTGAAAAATATACACACGGAAAACGAGAGCGAAGAGTTGGGAAAACAGAGTACCGAACACACCCAGGAGAGAACCCAATCAGTTTAAGATCTAACATGTGTATCTCACCTAATTCTTCTTTTTTCAACCGGGAATATGACATTACTCTTGATGGGGACTTTGTGAAAAGCATATCACCATATATGTACTGAGATATAACTCAGTTAAAGATCGATAAAAGAAATTCCATCGGCTTAACATGCCCAATTGAGTACAATCTTCTTAGATATAATTGGTTGACAAATCAACCAGTGGATGTACATGAAATTATTTTCCATATCCTTCGACCACTTAAGAGACAAATGAAGAACAAAAGTCAACTAAGCTAGTAGCCATGGACCTGAAACCAGAGGAGACAAAAGAGAACGGGAAACTACTGTAACAATAAAATGTGTTACACTACAATGGTCACCCACAACTCAATCAGGTGGCAACCCTCGTCTGTGTCGGGTATGACACCCGTCACAACATAAAGGTCACTGACGTGAGAAGTCATCATACGGCCGTCACAGATGAAGTTATTTTTGTCGGGTCTAACCTAAAGCCCTTCACCTATAAGTTTGACCCAGACGATCAGAGAAACAAGAACCTGTCACGGATGACCTAATCTCAGTCGGGCCCAATTAACACCTGTCACATATGACTACAATTTCAATCGGGCCTAAACTAAAGCCCGTAACAGATGACTCAACTCGGCTTTAACTTAAGCCCGCCACGGATGATGTCATCCTCATCGGGCTTAAGTTAAAGCCCGTCACCAATGAGTATTTCCCTGAAAAAAAATAAATTATGTTTTTTGGCTAGCCATGCCTGCTGCAAAATGACAGAAACATGTATATTTCACAATATCCTAGCATCCCCAGCACCCCATTCATATACAATAATTCACATATACATATGCCATTCACATATTTCATACATCTAATATTCATATATTTCATACATCCATTATTCACATATTTCACAATAACATCTTCAAGTGCTAAGCATCAAAACCTACAAAACCGAGTTGTAAACTGGAATAAATTTATATTTAGCATCGCAAGTATATACATAAACATAACAAATATATACATAAATATATACATCAGTGTTACGTAATCACATGTCTTGGACATTAATTTTAAAATGTTCAACGATGTTCATCATTTAACCCTAAGCCCGTAGTCTAAACATTCCTTTGGGGTGAATTATTTCACGGACGATGAAGCCGGCTATCTCCTCTCTCAAATCTCCTCGAAGCTGCTAGCCAGAGACTTGATTTTTTCCCTACATGTAAATACTTCGAAATTAGTCTCTCTCTCTCTCTCTCAATATATATATATATATATATATATATATATATATATATATATATATATATATATATATACACGGTGGCGCTACACAGCGCTTGTGTAGCGCTACGAAGGAAGTAGCGCGCCTCTCAGCGCTCGCCTTCCTGGTTTTTAGTTTTTTCTGGGTCCATCTCCGGATTTCTCGCTTTTCTCATGTAGCGCATCCTCCTGGACCGCTTTTACTGCTACCACCACGTGCAAAGGCTTTTTCCATCCCATTTGTCCCGAGTTAAAAAATTACTCGTCTGGTCATGTGAACGCTTAATGAGTAAAAAAATTGTACGGCAAGTAAAAAAATCACTGGATCATCTCTCCTCTAATTTGCCTGTACACCACTCCTAGTGAAGGCTGAGTAAAATAATTACTGCCTCATGTTATAAGTTAAAATATTACTCTGGGCCTTACTTGACATGAGGTTGATAATTTTACTTTCATTTAATAATAAAATAGAGTTTCTGAACGTGTACAGTTAAAAATTAACTTGTACGGTGCGTGAGAATTGTTTTGATCGTCGGATTTAATAGGTAAAAAATAACTTACGGGTTGGAAACATCTTTCGTGCTGTGTGAAATAAATAGTTAAATTTTGACTGTTATTTGAAAAACTAAGTGCGGATCTAGCGGTTCCAACCCCAGATGACTTTGTAGTTATAAAAATACTCGGCATGTGTAGTTAAAAAATGACTTTTGTTTTGAAGCAGATAAAAACGTGATCGCAGGGAGAATTGAATCGCAGTTAAAGTGCCGGAAAGAAAGGAATTATTCCATCCGGTAATATCTCTTGACATGAACTGATGGCAGATCCGGAAAAAATGGGGGTGAACGTTTTTTTCGTCGTGGTTTAAAGAAAAAGGGAAGATGGTTGCATAGTTTTAGCGTTGTAGTGGTGAGTACCAATCCTCGCTTGCCAGTGAGTTCTTCGTGCTGTTCGACATGGCCTAGCCGGAGCTCACCACGTGCAATCATGGCAACGACGTAGACGAAAATGTGTGCATCAAGCGAGATCGCTGCTGGTATATAGTAAAAAAAAGGTACAGTAATTTTTTATCACAACATAAATGTGCTACTAGTAGTAAAAAATTTACAGGGCAGCTGTTGGTCCATCCATATAGTGCATAAAAAAACTAAACGGCAGCTATTGCTAGCATTTTGACTCCTGCCGATGTCTTGCTTGTCACTGCTATGAGGCAGCCAGGCAGGAGGTATCGACAACGGCGCGAAGTTCAGTGAAGGCCAAATGTTAGTCTCAAGGTCGACGGCGATGAGCCGCTGCACACAGTTGCGACTTGCGACACCATATGACTCCATGAGCTTCCCCGAGGACGGGAACAGTGCCGGCCGGCCGAACCTGGCACACGTACGTAATGAATCACACGGAAGAAATCCAGCAATTCCAGGAATAAGCATCACTGCATCAGTACAAATTTGAAACTCAACGCCTAGGAACCAATTGGAGCTACATCTAGCGCCATCATACATGGACGAAGGGGATGCTGCAGCTGTGTCGAAGGCCTCCATCCCCATCAACGAAGACCTGAGAGGCGCGGCCCGTGCCGGTCGCCGGGCCTGCAGTCCGTCGCTGCCGCCCGCCGAACGCGATCGATCGTGACCTTCCCCACCCCGGAGGAAGGGACACTGCAGCATTGTTTGCAGAAGTGCACAACCTACTAACCTATCAAACCAAATATCATCAGGAGTGCTGCCTTACATGACGAATTGAGAGCTAAAAATTCAAGAACTAAAAATAGATCAAATACAGCCAAAAAAAATAAAGATTTACTCTAAAGACCAAAGAACACAAATGCACCAGAGAAGACCGTGTTCCAGCTGCAGATCCCATCTGGTCTAGTCTGTCTTCCTTGCATGAGGCGCTACCAATCCTTCCGATCCGGTAGCCCTGCATCTCTTCAACATCTTCATCGTCGTCGGTGGCCACCGCCATCAAGCCCTCGCTGGCAAGCACGCGGTGAAGGGGGCGTCGTCCTTTCCTCTGCTGGAATCACGATTGAGATTGCCGTGCTATAGATCCGAAAAGAATGGAGTGATTGATGCTGGAAGGAATGGTTGGATAGAATCTACCCTATAGTTGAATAAATGTTTTACTCATTCATCATTTATCATATCACACATCTAACGGTCCAAAACCTTTTGAAGAATGACGATCCAACGTACCAGATGCGCCCACACCCCCCTCTCTCTCTCGCGCTCGCAGCTCGCCGCAATCATCGCGCGCTCCTCATCCCCTCCCGCACCCACGCCGCGCCTCCTCCTCATCCCCTCCCACACCCCCCGCCCTCTCTCTCTCTCGATCGCCGCAATCGCCGCGCCTCCTCCGCAGAAATCGCCGCGCCTCCCCGTCACGGCGCCGCGCCTCCCCTCCGCGCCGTCTCCGCCCTCCGCCTCCTCCGCATCGCCGCGTCTCCCCTCCGCGCCTTCTCCGCCCTCCGCCTCCTCCGCATCGCCGCGCCTCCCCTCCGCGCCGATCCGGTCTCCGCCCTCCGCCTCCTCCGCATCGCCGTCATCTGCCGGTCGGAGCCGCGCGCGATCGACGCGCCTCCTCTGCATCGCCGCGAGTGCGCGTCAGGCGCCTCCCCGCCGCATCGCCGTGCCTCCTCCGCATCCCTCCCCTACGCGCATCCTCCACCCTGGTCCCTCGCCTCCGCCTGCGAGGAGGAACGCTTCGCCGGGCGCCTCTCCTCGGTATATGCAGTAGGAAATCCTTGCAATCGTCGCTACATAGGGCTTCTATTGTGAATTCAGATTTTAATTCCCTCCTGCTAAATTCCATTCTTGCATTCATGGCTGGCCGGGTTCTTCATCTATTGACGAAAATACAGCTATATTTGTTCTAAGCAATTTCTGGTGTTATATTAGTCCAGTGGGAAATAATGTGCCTTTTATATCTTACATTTAGCTGATTAGATTCTGTGCATTTGCAAGTATTCGGTAAAAAGGTTGCGGTGTCACAGGTCGGGTATTTTATTTCACACAGTGCACAACTAATAGTTCACGCGGGGGGATTTATCTTTTTTACCACAGCTTTTTATTTGGGCATTGCATAGAAAGAATAGGTGCTTAGCTTGGTTCTTAATAACTGCTCTGATCTGAGAGTTAGGTTGATTTAGTATAAACTGCACATATGATTTTGACTGCTCATTCAAATCAAAATACCCATGTCACTTGAAACATAAATCTACATGGATTACTGATGTTTGTTCATGTACTTCTAAGCCTTTTATTTTCTCTATCATCAGATTTTTTTTGTTAGCTATAGTTCTATATTTATTTTTTGTTTGTTAGGAGGAGTTCAAGGAAATACAAAAATAGATGAACATGGAAACACTGTTTGTGTGGGCATTTCAGCCTTTTGCAGAGTATTTTAAAGACAAATGGTGTAGCTCGCCAGGGACTGCATTTGCGTCACTCGTCCGCGCCGCCATAACTGCATCGACAAGCCTCGCCGATCTGCGACGCCATAACTGCATCGACAAGCCTCGCCGATCTGCGACGCCATAACTGCATCGACAAGCCTCGCCGATCTGCATCGACGCACTGCCACCGCATCCACCTCGAGCGTCAACGCCGCCAAGAGGTACAAAAACCCTGCTCCACCACCCCTCCAGCTTCTACCTGATCCCCATCCCTAATATGACCATAAATGTGATGTCCTATGAAGCATCAAGCATGTATGTCTTCTCTCTTTTATTTCACTTCTCATTGAGGATTAGCTCGGCGGCGCTGATTTTTACTTCCAATTGAGTATATAGCTGGTCCATTTACTAAACAAGGCATAAAAACATCCATATACCTTCAAGCCATAATCTGTATTTTTAGTGGTTCTAACCACATATTGCATAATATAATGTGCTGCGGTGATGCTGAGCCTTGAAAGATACGTACTTAGATATGAGAATTTAGGGGGTTTTGGTGAACTGACTTGTAGTTCTCGGTGTGGGAAATCATTTGTGTGTCGGTGAAGTCATGCTCATAATGACATACAGCTCACCTGCTAATTTTGGTAAAATAAACTGCATGGTGTTGATATTTTTGAAGTTCAGGCTAATAAATTTCATGATGATATGCTCCACTTAAAAACAGTTTTAAGGCAAATGCTCTAATTATATTAGAAAACGGTTTTAACTCCTGCCATACAATTTCTACTATCCTTTTTAATGCTTTCTTGATTTTTTGGTGTGTGTCGGTTCCTGGATCGGTGATTTAATGGTTTCAGTTTATATTCACTATATATTCAAGTGATTTTGTAACATGAGCAGGTAAAATCCCCTCGACAAGCTGCTTCAGCGACCGGTATCCTCGGTCTCCGCCTCAACCGCCGCCGCCGCCACCACCGGATCCCTGCATCGTCGATTCTACTGCACACCTGCGAGCATAGCAGTGGATGTGAGGGTGTCGTGGTCCTGCTACAACCCTGTGAGCATCCACATCTCAGTTCTCATTCATCTCTCTCTGTCTCTATCCCACTTTTCTCTCATATTTGCTTGCATAAACCCTTAGCTTCTCTTCTAGATCTGGATGGATATATTATCTTATTTTGTTTGTTTGCTAGGGTTAAATATGATTCAATTCAACACGAAACATATGCCATATTTCACTGAACAACAAGCCCATTCACTCAATTACACATCAGGTCCTTGTAGCATAAAATGAACACAATAGTACAATATTCCTTGCTGCTCATTATTTCTTTGGCATGCCGTCTCTCAATGTTCGAACTGATATGATGAGCATGTTAATTTGGCCTTGATATGTCAGTTACCGGTTTCATGGCCATTGTTCCACACGTCAAATACTCAAAAGTAGATGAAACTGAACTGCAGGAGTTCAGGCATTTTATCTTTTGCTAGGGTTAAATATGATTCAATTCAACACGAAACAGAGGCCATGTTTCACTGAACAACAAGCCCATTCACTCAATATCAAATCACTGTCACAATTTACAATTTCTGACTTCAGATACTGTGAATCATGCTTCAAATATATGTAATAATTAAACCAGTATGTCAAGCTTATTATTATCTTCATAGATGGTTTTTAGTATGCTCTTGCCTTGCTAACGTAGGTCGACTTTCTTGTACTGATGGGTTCCTATTGGTTATTGACTATTAAAATAAATTCTAACATTATAAACTGATTTGTATAATATACGTCACTGGATCTGGTTATTCCTATATGCAAATGCACAACTTCAACTAGAAGCAGCTGTGTTTACGTTAATGGTACTGACTGATGGTTATATATGAACTTGTCTGAAGTTATTTATGAACCGTTCTGAACTTTGCATGCTTCCTCAGATGTCTGACTTCTTTGTAATGCACTTTTATTTTTCTGTAATAATGCTTGGGATTACGACTCAGATAGAGTGCTAACTGTTTTCCACATGTGCAGAACAAGTGAAACTAGCCGTTGGAGTGCTTCTTTAAGTAGACAAGGCATAATGGAGAATATGGGTGAGACATTAATTTGTTTTTTCTCAAATTTGCTAACTGACTAAGATGGAATACTGGATAACATAATCATCCCGTGTGAATATCTCCAAAGAACTGGATAAGGGCTCATTCAGATGTATATGTCATTGGTTGTTCAACACATTAATTATGCATTGATGACTGATTGGTGATGATTGTACCTTATGCGCATCACGCTGACAAGTAACTTGAGATGTTTATATTTGCATGGGAGACAACTTGTGTATGTCATATCTTTGTTTGACCCTGCACACGATTTCATAATCGCTTTATTGTACTGGGCATTTTCGCCATAATACATGCTTAAAACATTGCAATGTATGGTTATGGCACTATTATAAAAGCCATGATTAACCACTAATGTAAAAATACGTATATTAGGTGTTGACGCAACGAACCCACAAACTGAAGAGCGTATTGCATTCCGGGATATCACCAACAGATTGGATGTATTGCAAACGACACCTATAACACCTTCTGATGAGGTATTACGTAAGCGGGAAGCACATAACCGAAGCCAACGTGAATACCGTGCAAGGAAAAAGGCTGCAGCAAATACCCCGTGTTCTGCAACACTGCGGCAACCAACTACTGCTTCTCTTTCTAAGGAATTTGAAATTGTCAATGCCCAGCTGGCTGAAGCTACCAATGATGCCAGAGAGGAAAGGAACCGTAAGCAACGTGAATATCGCCAAAAGAAGAAGGTTGGGTCAACTAATCTTGATGGTAGTGTGACCTCTTTAACACCAGTACAACCAGCAAATGAGGAAAGGAACAGAAAGCAACGCGAATACCGTGCGAGGAAGAAGGCCAAGTCAGACATTGTTAGGGGATCAAATTCCCAATCAACCGATCATATTGGTAAAATTTATGCCCGTGACTAATCAACCGATCACATTTTTATTCATTTTGTATCACCATATTCAACGACATCTTATATCGTTTTGCAAGCAACAAGCGTACTATACAACGAAGATGGGGATCCTGGGAGCGTGATCTCTTTAACAGCAGTACAACCAGCAAATGTGGAAAGGAACAGAAAGCAGCGTGAATACCGTGCGAGGAAGAAGGCGGAGTCAAGCATTGTTAGCGGATCAAATTCTGAATTAACCAATCAAGATGGTATAACTTACTGTCAGAATCAACTTTTTGTTTTAATCTATTGTTCTCACTATTTTTTCATTTAGTGTCGCCATATGGAACGACATCTTCTACCATTTTGCAAGCTACAAGCGTATTATACAAGGAAGATGTTGATCCAGATGATCCGAAGGATTGGCTTCACAGAAATGATACCTACCAAAGACAATGTAGGAAGAGGAAAGCAGTGAGCATTGAACGTGACCAACACTCACCCATGCTAGGTAAACTCCCTCCATAAAATTCAATGCATAAATCAATATTTCATATTCTTCTTGATTTATTATTTCATGAAATATTGATTGAGCAGATGGAGTTACAGCATACGAAAGTATACCTGTCCAAGATGTTCATCAGGACATTCCGAGTTTCGATTACATTGAATTCGATAGTAGAATATTCGAGCCTGCACTAAACAATTTAGACGACGAAAGTGAGCATTCTTAATTTGTTTTAATTAATGCTGGAGGTGTTTTATGAACAATTTCACTACACAATATATTAACCCAACAACTATACGATATTATCAGTACTAATCCACCTTCCATCAGGTAATGTCAAACTGACGCAGACATGTGACGTCGTGGATAGTGATGATGAGGAATTTCAAAATAAAGGTATCATAAAGTATAATAATACTTTTCTCTTTTCAAGACAAGTAGGTATATATGATCATATTTTAATTCTGTGCTTATTTTCCCTCTCTCAGACAATGGTTACGAGTCATATCGCGTGGATATCAAGGGTGTTAATTCTGTTGATGTTGAAGATCCATACGATTATGTTTATCATAACCTGCCAGAGAAACATCATGTGTTAAAAAAAAGGCTGATTGCAAGTACTGTGGGGCGATTAGGTTTCAGTACGAGCCCCCTGGATTCTGCTGCAGGCAAGGGAAGATAACCGTAGCCACTCCATTGGTTCCCCCTAAGTTGGTACGCCTGTTTACAAGCCAGGTTGATAATGATGCGAAATACTTTAGAAAACATATCCGTTACTTCAACTCTCATTTCTCATTCACAAGTCTTGGAGTGACCCTTGACCGCAGCGTGAGCACTGCTGCAGGCACCGGTGTATATACATTTCGAGTGCATGGTGCATTGTACCATCGTTTAGATAATTTGGTGCCAGGTTCTCATGGTCCATGTCATATGCAGTTGTACTTCTATGATACGGAAGAAGACACTGATCTTGCACACAGAGCGAAGAGGTCCCCTGATCTTGATATCAACCTTGTGCGAATCATCCTAAAAATCTTGGCGGATAACCCATATGTTGAGACTTTTAACCGAGTCGGTACCATGCCAAATCTTGAGATCAACACGAATGTCACCCCTGACCAACGAAGATATAATGCTCCTACAACATCCCAAGTTCCTGCTATCTGGCTAGAAGGGGATGATCCGGTTAGAACTTTTGATAGGCATGTGATGGTGCATGCCAAAGGGGAGAAACCTAGCTATATCAAAGCATACCATGGCTGCTATGACCTGTTGGCGTATCCTTTATTTAACCCTAACGGCGAAACCGGATGGAATGTCAAAATGCCGTACGAAACACCCAACAATATTCCAGACGGTATGGACATTGATGCACCAAGTGCTGCACCAATGGATGGTAATGTGCACGTCAGTGAAGAAAACACTTTTGGCGAGCTTCGTGGTGTGTACACACTTAGCTTGTATGAGACCTTATCGATACATACATACTTTTAGGCCATTGTAATTAAGTATATTTCTTGATTTTTGTTGCAGAGAATGATGACGTTGGCGATACTTTATACGATGAAGACACTAATGAGGTGGATAACAGGTCATGCAAGCGGAAGAAAGATAGATTTGTCACTGCAAGAGAGTACTATTGCTTTAGGCTACAGGTTCGGAGGGGACTTTTCAACATTATTTTATTTGGAGGTCGTCTCTTTCAGCAATGGGCCGTTGACATGTACATTAAGATAGTCTATGCGACTGGATTGGTATTCTAACCCTGAGAACCAAAAGAAGATACGAGCTGAGCTGTACCAGGTGAGTATATGAAATAAAATACATATTCAATAATATTAAACCATATCCCATTCAAAAATCGATGCTTCCAATATATGCTCACGTTATCGATATTAATTTGGTAGGGTGTCGTCGACGTGATCAATTCTGGAGAGACAAGGGGTAAAGAGGTAGGAAAGAGGATTGTGCTACCTCGGTCTTTTCCTGGTGGCGATCGCGACATGCAGCGGCGGTTTCTTAATGCAATGGCTCTTGTCCAACGTTTTGGGAGACCAGACTACTTCATCACGATGACCTGCAATCCAAACTGGGAGGAGATAACAGAAAATCTCTATCCTGGCCAACAACCGCAAGATCGACCGGACCTTGTTGCAAGGGTATTTAGGGCCAAGCTAAGAGACATGTTAGACTTGTTCACCAAAAAAAAGTATTTCGGTGAGGTTCAGGCATATGCTCATGTTACTGAGTTTCAGAAGCGGGGCCTCCCACATGAACATATCCTATTAATCATGAAGCCAGCCAGTAAGTTAACAAATCCAGATGGTTATGATAAAGTTATATGTGCAGAGATACCAGATAAGGAAAAATACCCCGTGCTACATCGACTGGTCATAAAACATATGTTGCACGGGCCGTGCGGTGAGCTAAACAAAAAGTGTGCCTGCATGGTGGATGGAGAGTCGCTTCAACTTTCCTCGACCGTTCTGTCAAGCAACACAACAAGGGAAGGACTCGTATCCTTCATACAGGAGGAGAGATGACGGGTGGCGTGTAAAAATTAGAGGTGCGGTGTTGGACAATAGGTGGGTGGTCCCATACAATCCAGGCTTGCTCATGAGGTATAATTGCCACATCAATGTTGAAGCTTGCGCCAGCATCAAATCTGTGAAGTACCTATATAAATATGTGTATAAAGGCCATGAGTTGTTATATTTTGGCTTGGATGTCCTATTATATAACGAATTCCGTCGTCATATGTTGTATAAATCTTAATTTCACAAACCAATATATAGCGTATAAAATAAAAAAACCCAAACACATTGGTCCAGCCTACCTGTGTCGGTCATTTTAGATAGGGCATAGCATGTATTCACTGAAATCTATATTGCTACATGTCTTAGGCTCCTTATATATGTATTTGCTATAGGCATCTGAAATACATGACCGATTCTGATTATGTGCTCAATTTTAGAATCTCTTTATAAAGCGGTTGTGCTCACTTTACAAAATCCGCATGGATGTGATGCATCAGTTAACCACAAATTGGCACGATTAGATTAATGCAACGTTGAAGTGATTAACTTAGGTGCTCTCATTGGTACCTGTGCTTTTTTTTTTTAGTTTCGTGCATGGATAGTACACATGTGAAATGTTTTATTTTGTACTTAATACCGTGATATACCCAGGTAAATCAAGACGCTCTTCCTCATGATATGAGTGCAGTCCGACCATCGAAAAAAGCAAGAAGTTTTGAATGTAAGGGTAGTACGTATGCCTTTATTGTGTTTTAATCTATTTAAATCTGCCAGTAGCTTACAAACTAAATGCCAATTTAATTTAGTGTGGAATTTTGGGGTACAATTATAAACTCTATTATACCATGAATGAATTAAAATTTGAATGATTGTTTCTTTTTTAAACCATATGGACGAACCCTAAAAAATTAATTTGCAGATCAGAAAATTAATTAAAACTGGGAGTTTATGTGGCAGATTTTTTTTTTATATTTTATAATGTGGATTTTGGAGTACAATTATTTTATGATTCGCAAGACGAGCATATAATAAATTTTTAAAACTTTCATTTGTGAGATGGGTAGTACGAGTATATTTTATATGGTCTATATGCACTTCTGTTATATAGTGGAAAAAACAAGGGCTCTGTGCTGCGATCACATGCATTTTCCCTGTGCGTTCCTCTGAATTATTCTAGCCAGTCACACTTTTTTATTATAATGTCACGCGTCTCTTTTATTTTTTTATCATGTTTCATAAATGTTTTATATTACGATTTTTTATTCATATTATCTTGACTGTCCATTTTATGTTTTTTATGTCCGATATAGCACCACTAAAGTCAACTGCAGAGTTCTCTCCAACCAACTCAGGAATGGATATCATCATTCCTGAAAGTATTCCCTCTTTCACTACTCTTGTCATTATTATCATACGCTCCTCTCAATGGCCACTCATAAATACTTTCATTGTTTAATTGTGTAGAAGGAACAGAACCAGAAGAACCATTGCAGGTTATTCCACTTCATTTAAAACTCTATGAGCGTGTTGCACGAATTGATTGACCCTCTTAATCAATATTTCATTTCATTTGTTTAGCATAATAATGTTTAGTATAATACACCGTTATTATAGGATAAGGAGTCAGGGGAGCATGTAGGATCCAAAGTTAGCATGCCCAATAATGGCGTACCATCGAAGTTGATACGATCTATAATTGGCCAGACTTACGACTACCTCCCTCAAGGTATACAATAATATTGTATGACATGTGTTTAGTATCATCTATCTATAACTTTTTGTCATCAGTCATCCCTTTCTCCCTTTTTATTTTACAGATTATGTATTAACCAACCAGGATGTTACTGCTCAAGACATTATTCTGGTATCATCTGAAAATGAGACACTGGTGAACATGGGAGGTTTTTCTGTCAAAAAACATCACCTATCGTGCCTTCTCACTAAAGATAAATGGGTGAACGACGACGTAAGTACAACTGCACATGAGTATGCAACGTTAATATTTATTTAATTGTCAAGTTCCTAAGTATTTTTTAATTGAATCTATAGGTCATCAGTGCATACATACACTGTATAAAGGAGGCGCAATCAAAGACCGATAAGAAAGTGTATTATGAAAACCCCTTTCTCATTGCCATGTTACAACGAGATGCGGTCTACATAATAGATGAACATATAGACAACTTTATTACAAATACAGTGAAGAACTATCTTTTTCATGAACTGGTATAGTTTGGCTCTCTAAATTTAATAGGATTTAAGTTTGTTATTATATGCATTATTGTGTACTAATTCGATGACTTGTTTAGATTTTTCTACCAATAAATAGAAGAAATATTCATTGGTATTTAGCTGTTCTCGACCCAAAAAAAAAGTGATACATGTACTTGATTCTCTCTGTGAGGACTTCGATCGTGTTGACCTCCATATAGCGGTAAGTGTATATGGCATATTCACTCTTTTGTTTATTTTAGATTGCAATTCATTTTTCTATTGCTAATCGCAAATGTAATAATTGAATAGATACAAGGAGTACAAAAACATCTTGATATCATTACACGGCGGCAGGACTTACCTAGCCATGAATGGATAGATCTAAATGTCGTGACATGGCCGATCATAGAACAATTACAAGTCAAAATTCAACTAGATGGGTATACTACAAATCATATCTCTTGGAATATTAAAATAAGATACATGATATATTTTTTACTGGTGCATTCTTGTTTTATTTTTAATTAATTAATGTTTACATAATTGTAGTTCTTCTTGTGGGCTCTTCATGCTCAAATTTATGGAGTTTTTTACTGGAGATAAATTTTCTTATCCTGTTACACAGGTGAATTTCTTAGCATAATAACAAAATATTAGATCATACATTTTATCTAATTTTCCTATTAAACGAAGTTATGTTTACTATGCAGAAAGATATTGAACTTTTTAGGTACAAGTTAGCCGGTATATTACTGTGTTGGAAAACAAATATGGCGGCCGAGGTTTCCGATGTTGAACAAGTCGAAGATACAGACAATGAAGATGATGTTGTGATAGTGGGCAGTCGTCAAAGAGAAAGATGGGACATGAAGGAATCTAAAGTACGTTCGGCAACCAACGATCACAAATATAGTTCCCTCCTCTCGGTGGTTTCTGCGATGAGTTTACAGGAGTTGATAGGCGGCCTTTTCCAGTACATACAACAAATAAATTGTGCCAAAACCTTGGAGTAAGCCACTTCTATATAATGTATCTACCCTATAGTTCAAACATGCACTAACTTATTTTTTTATTTATTGACAGGAATATATGGGTGCAAAGTTCACGGCCGCGCACCATAAAAATAAGTCTCAAAACACTTCAATCAGTACTAAAGGATGGACCACTTGACCGTGATTGCTTCGACATGGCCATACGCAAGTTCATGTATGAAAACATCCAGTCGCTTCACAAAACCAGCGCGCGAAGCAATAACGAAGCATTGCCTGGACTTACAATTTTGGGTAAGTTTTTATAATCTACCCAATATTGATTCTTTTGCTCATATTTTAAACAATGATTGTACATCATATAGACTGCTACTGGATTTGGTATAAGTCCAATGTTCCATAAGGATATAGATCTTGCGGGGTCGGTTGGTAGCTGGTCGAAAATCCATTATGAAGTTGCAAAATGCAAATCGGTAAGCTAGCTATCCTTTGTTCTTATTTGAAAGTGTTTTTTTATATTATCTTGACGGATGACTTTTTCTAGATTCTTATACCAGTATGTGCTGTTGGAAGCTATATCTTGGTCATACTGGACCAAGAAAGCAGAACACTTTATCTTCTAGACCCTAATCCACTAAATCCAATGTATGAGAACAACCCATCTATGAGATATACCAAAAAATTGTTAAACGTTACCAACTATTTCAACAGAGCCATGCGTGTGGCATGTCCTGGCTCTAGGTGGACTGAGGATATCGACTTGTGGCGCCATATATATGTCACAAATCCGGTGGCTGACTCGTAAGTTTTCTTGTATAATCTTGTTTGATCCAATAAATTATTTTTGTCTAACGCATGGTACCTAACTATCCAAATTTCATAGGAATTTGTCGGGTTGTCTCGTACATCTGTTCATGCGATCCTGGAAAGATGGAGCACTTCATTTGCCGTCTTTTAAGGTCATTCCGACTAGCATTGGCATTTAGAATATTATATTTTATTTTATAATACAGTCATTTATTTTATAAACATATGCATTTGCAGGATGTTGACGAGCTAAGGAAACAATTTTTGCTACATATACTGATGTACGAGCAAAATGAGTGTGCAAGCAACATTCCTAGCGGCGCACGAGATTTTCTTCACTGTATCGCAAATGCAAAACATTAGAATAGTTATTCTTTACCTATGGGGTGTATTCTATACATAACAAATGCTTTATTTAAATAATGGAATAACTCTACACTTCTCTAACATATTTTTCTGCCCGCAACAAATAATTGAATAACTCTATACTTCTCTAACATATATTTTTATGCGTATATTGCCTTTTATATTGTGTAGTGTGTACATAGGGTATATTATATATAATTAAGTCTTGTAAAGTTTTACTGTGCCCACGTAATATCATAGTACTGCACCTTATATGAAATATACTTAATGTACTATATGATTTAATTAAAGTTCAAATGCACAGATCATATAAAAATATTTTTTTGTTAACATATGAAATTTTTTTAAAGATACAGTTAAATATAATTGCACCGTAGCGTTTAGCACGGGCATATTACTAGTTTCCTATAGTATAAATACTCTCATGTTGCTAGATAAAGTAAAAATATTACTGAACATCTCGAGATGCAAGAGGGTGGCTGCACAGGGCTCGTGAGTAAAAAATATTACTACGCACCTTCCTATCGCTCTTATCCAATAAGGTAGCGCTCTATGTTTTCGCTCGCGAGTTAAAAAATTACTGAACATCTTGGTGTGGTGGGGGAGGATGGTATGGTGTGGGACGTGAGGTTTGTATCACGCTTCGTTTAATACGTAGCACCTCGTAGCACCTTAAGGTGCTGTATAGTAATATATATATGTATATATATATATATATACACCTCAAATTCGACCAAAGTCTTCACCTATTCTTTGTACAAAATCCACATGTTGTGGCACACATGAAGTTACACTAGTGAGGGGCCAACACAGATGAAAGGATCTGTAACACAAAAACTGAATTGATTATTCAACTCGTACAGGTAGAAATCGAAACGGGGTGCATGTATAAGTGAGGTTCTAATTTGACCAACAAAATCAGATCGATTAAACAAAAGGAAAGGAGAAATTGGTGGGTTGTCACCTGTGTTAGATCATTAGAGTGATTGGAGAGATATTGGTGTGGAGATGCATACGAATCCAAGGAACAGAATTCCAGCAACAGGAACCAAACACCAGCTACCTGATAGATCGACGAAGGCAAGACACTAATGGATGTACTTGATGGTTCCTCGCGGCACCGCGAAGAGGCGAGTAGCCGCGGAAGAGGAAGCGGTGCAGGAGGGAAAACACCGCACGTCCTCGCCCTGCCTCTCTACCATACGTACGTGCAAACAGAGCGACGGACAAAGAGCGAGAACGGGAGGCGATAGAGCGACTAGGGGGAGATGGGCCCGCCGTGTACATGCATGATGGATGGGGGACTCGGAGCGGCTGAGAAGCACGATGGTGCGGCAGCGTGCGTGCGCAGGGGGTGGGCTAGCTGGCGACCTCATCGCGTTTGTGGGGGGAATAAGTTCACTTCGTGACCTTCATCGAAATCTAATCCATGACCCTAAACCATAAAACCGGATATCTCGACCTCCAAACTCCTAAAACCGGTGCAATTTAACTCCCTTAGCGGTTTTGGAGGGTGGTTTTGCTGACGTGGCACCTACATGGCGATATTGACCGAGTCTTCGTTCCACGTGGCGTTGACGTGGCACTTAGGTGGCATTAGAATTAAAAAAAATGTGTGGGACCCATTAGTCATTCACACAAAAAGAAATGTGGGCCCACTAACATGTGGGGCCCACATGTCTGTCCTCTTCCTTCTTCCTCCTCCCTCTCTCCCTTCTCTCTCTTTCTCTCCCCTTCTTCCCCTTCGGCCGGCAGCGGACGGCGAGAACGAGCGGCGATGACAGGACGGGCGAGGGCAGGAGCAGCGAGCCGTGCAGCCGCTGCCGCCGCCGTACTCCTCCTTCCGAGGCATCGCAGTCGCCTCCACCCTGACACCTCTCCCCGCCGGCGCTCGCGGCTCCCATCCACCGATGACACGGCTTGCAGCGATGCGGCTGCGCAGCCTCCTGCACACGCTTGCGGCCGGAGGAGTGCTTGTTGTGGGGCTCGGAGTGGCTGGTGGGAGCGCGGTGGCGCGGAGACCGCATCCTCTGCCGTTCGGCGATGGGCGGCGGTGGCCATTGTCCCGGTTCTACTGCTCCAAGGGCGGGCGGCGTTCGGCTAGGAGCTGCGACGGCCGCCGTCTTCGCTCCCTGCCACGGCCGCGTCTCCGCCGCTCGCCGTTGTCGCCGCTCCAGCGACGGCCGAGCTGTCCTGGCCGGAGGAGCGAATGGGCGAAGCAACTTTCCCGGTGGGCGACTGGGCGAGCGGAAGCGCTGCTTCTTGTAGTCCAGCCAGTCGATGCCTACATGGTTGAACACAATATAATATATAATGCAAGAAAGAACGAAAAAAATTAGGAATCGAACGAATAGAGATAGAGATTATTAGCGAAGAACAAAAAATAGTAGTAGTATCGTCTTTTGCAGCGAGGTCGATCGTGATGTCGTCGATGCCCTTCTCCATGCCCTTGAGACCGCACATGTAGACGTAGGTGTTGTCCTTCTTGAGCAGCTCCCGACGGGGATTGGCCATGGCGAACGGCCTGTGGGGCGAGCTTGGGCAGGCGTTGAGGGAGGCGCAGCTGGTCCGCGTGGACGCGCTGGGGCTGGTCTCCATGGTCGTGCAGGCGGCGCGCCGTTGGGACGCGTGCCGGCGGCTGGGGCAGCACGTGGAGCTCGTCGGCGGCCTGCTGCGGGAGCTCGAGCTCGCCGAGCTGATGCGGCGGGATGCCACCAGGCGGCCCCTCGAGCGGCTCCACGGCGCCCATCCACTGACGACGCGCGCTCGTTCTTACCGCTTGCCGCCGGCTGAAGGGGAAGAAGGGGAGAGAAAGAGAGAGAAGGGAGAGAGGGAGGAAGAAGGAAAAGGACTGACATGTAAGCCCCACACCTAAGTGCCACGTCAACGCCACGTGGAACAAAGACTCGGTCAATATCGCCATATAAGCGCCACGTGGCGCCATGTCAGCAAAATCACCCTCCAAAACCGTCGAGAGAGTCAAATTGCACCGGTTTTAGGAGTTTGGGGGTCGAGATATCCGGTTTTGTGGTTTAGGGTTGTGAATTAGATTTTGATCACAGATGAGGGTCACGAAGTGAACTTATTCCTTTGTGGGGGGAGGAGAAGCGGCGCGGCTGGTTGGCCCACGGCTGCCACGCGCGGAGGATGTGTGATGTGGGCTGGGCTTCACATGTGCGTGCGTCGATTGGAGTGCGGGAGTAGACATGGGTCTAGCTGGGCCGACCCAGCAAATTGGGCCTTTTTTTCTTGTAGATAAA